ATCGTTCTACAAAAGTGGTGCTGAAAGTGAGAGTGGCGCTAAAATGATTGTATGGCTCTCGATGGAGATTACGTTGATGTATAACGCCAATTTTGAACAAAAAAAAAAACGTGTTTGCCTTTAGGCTCGGGACTTTTCAACGCAGGTGTTAAAATGGAAAAATAAATGGAAAAATTAAAATTCATTAAACAGAAATGATTCTGACATTCAAAACACCCGCATAAAATGGATTTATTGAAGACATTTTTCTCCCACCATTGAAACTCAATCTATTGGAATGTTTAATAACTGTAATAGATTTCAGAATTTTGAAAATTTACTAAATTCCCAAAGAGAAATGCATTCTTCCCTTCTTCCGAATGTTTTTTCTTATGAGAAAATTGGGAATTAGTTCATTACATGCAGGGCCGTCGCCATGGGGGGATGGGGGGAGTCTACCCCCCTGCTTTTTCGACTTGGGAAAAAGTTGGTAAAAGTTGGGAAATTTTGGGCCATGAAGATAGAAAAAAATAATAGTAAAAAAATGAATAAAAATTTAAATGAGAGAAAAGAAAACGAGAGGTAATAAGAAAAGGGAAAGAACCACGAGAAGGTTGGGATTTCCCACCGTGCATAACTTGAAGAGAATTCTGAGTTGGTTCAGAAAAGTTCAATTTCTCCCAAGTAAGAAAACAGTCCTGAACAGTCCACAAATTTTGAAGTGACAATTTTACAAAATTCCCAACTTTTCGCTGTTTTCTCGACTTGGAAAAGTTGGGAAATTTCGGGCCTTGAAGATAGAAAAAATAATGGTAGAAAACAATCAGCACAATATTATTTAAGTGTTGTTTCCTTTCATTTGTATTGAATATTCCTATACATGGTGGAAGACCAAGAACCTTGGTCCAAAGTAGAATAATTCCCATTATTATTTTCATAATCACCAACATTTATTTTTGTTTGTGCATACCCTAACGGGCATAAGCATTCAGCGAATCTTTGGATAGCTGAGTAAGAAAATTAATATATTATAGTAGTAACACTAATCCCTCGGCTTTCATTTTTTCGAAAGTTGGGAAATTTACTGGTGGGGTGGGGAAAATTTGGATTCCCTCCCCCCCTGGTTTTTCTGTTCGCTACGGCCCTGATTACATGTTTATTCCATGAGTTATTAATTTTTTACGACATTTACATTTTCACTTAGTTTTTACCTAAGTAATTGCGACAGTTTTATTCTTCTACACAAGTTCCATCCAGCCTATTATTTTATTAGAGCAAAAACAGGGTCAAAAAAGTTATTATCAAAAATGTAACCTTTCCAAAGCCACTTTTTCCATAAACCCTGTACATTTTTCTCCTCGCCATACCCATTTCAATTTCCATAGCAACGTACATCATCTGCAGCAGATTACATTCGCGACTATCTATTATATTACATTCCCAACAAACCGTTGATAACGAGCCGTGACCCATTGAGCAGACAACAATAAAGGAAGAAGTACTTACTTCTCGATTTCCTGATCCCCTCTGTCCCGGTCGAAAATAAACAAATTAGTGACCGCGTGCGTTGATAATCTTACAGCACATCAAGAATGATCTGTTTAGAGCCGACACCAGATTCAAACTGAATGAAACTATTCGTGAACGCGGCGTGTGGCCAAACGCGATATTCGCACCCTTCTCTAGGGGGTGGGCATCCTGAATTGACGGCAAATTAACCCTCTGCCAGCTCCCGCTAGTTGTAGACGGTGAGAGGGAGAACCGAATTTTTTTCTAATGATGAGAATTGATAGGTGGGTTAATTGGATTGGTCTGGGTCGTTTTCCTCCTCCTAAAGTAGGGGATGAAAGTGTTCACACTTTTGGAAAAGGTAACAGAGGAATCGTATCTTTCATCGTAAATTTCAGACAGATATAATAATATATTCATTTGATTTCTTTAGGACATCCTAATATACATACAATATACATAAAATAACAATAAATGGCATAAATAACAAAAATGATAATATGATAGAAGAAAAAAAATAATGAAAACCATTTTTCAAATATTCCAGAATGGTTTCAACATGAGGATATACATAATAAATATATTAACAAACAGAAGAAAGAAAATCAAGGATAATATTTTATACAGGGTGAATCAAAAGTACTTTGACAAACTTCAGGAGGTGATTCCTGATTTTCGTTTTTTTTA